GAGACAGGGTTGCACTCTGTTGCCCAGGCTGGAGTGCAATGGCACAGTCATAGCTCACTGCAGCCTTGACATCCTGAGCTCAAGTGATCCTCCCCCGTCAGTTCAGCCTTCTGAGTAGCTGAGATTATAGGGCTCTAGCACCATACCTGGCTAATTTTTTTTTTTTTTTTTTTTTTTTTTTTGAGACAGAGTTTCACTCTTGTTGCCCAGGCTGGAGTGCAATGGCGCGATCTTGGCTCACTGCAACCTCCGCCCCCTGGGTTCAGGCGATTCTCCTGCCTCAGCCTCCTGAGTAGCTGGGATTACAGGCACACGCCACCATGCCCAACTAATTTTTAGTATTTTTAGTAGAGACGGGGTTTCACCATGTTGACCAGGATGGTCTCGATCTCTTGACCTTGTGATCCACCTGCCTCAGCCTCCCAAAGTGCTGGGATTCAGGCTTGAGCCACCGCGCCCGGCTTCAATTTCTTGACCTTGTGATCCACACGCCTTGGCCTCCCAAAGTGCTGGGATTACAGGCTTGAGCCACCGCGCCCGGCCTCATACCTGGCTAATTTTTTAATTCTTTTGTAGAGTCAGGGTCTCACTATGTCACCCAGGCTGTCCATGTCTTTTGATCCCAGGCAGCCCCTTAGGAGCCCAACCCCAGCTGCTAAGAGCTCCAAGGACTGGCAGGAACTCCTGAGGATCATGGCGGAGCTCAGGGACTTAAGGGAACTTGATGAGAATCCCCTTGAAAGGGGAGCAAGAGGAGCAGCTCTGTGCAAAAGAAGCCTGGAGAAGGAGCAGCCCGGCCTTCCTCTCATGCCTGCTTCAGGGGTGCCCTTGCAGCATGTCAGGTGCTGTGGGGGAGGACAGCAGCCCCTCCTGTCCTCCGCTCACAGCAGCTGTGGAAACTGACCACACAGTGCACACTGGGGAACAGATAGGCAGGTGCTCAGAGGAGGCCTTGACCCAGGCAGATGCTGTGAGAAAAGGCTTCCCCCAGGAAGTGAGTATCAGCTGAATCCTGGAGGACTGGGGGACAAAGGGGAGGGAGAACATTCTAGGCAGAGTGAATACTATCTTACGGGGTGTGGCTATGTGAGAGACCAGGGTGAACTCAGGGACAGCTAAGGGTGTTCAGGGGACAGGAGACCGGGAGGTTGGCAGCACCAGGCCCTGGAGGCCTTGTCAACCAAGCCAAGGAGTTGGAATTTGCTGCAGAGAGTGGTGCACGGAAGCACTGGTAGATGTTGTGGATGAATTGGCCTTTTCTCCTTTCCCCCATCACTCCAGGTTCATTCCTGCCTGAGGACTCCTGCCCGCAGAGCTCTCCTGGGGCTTTTTAAAAAATTTATTTTTGAGACAGAATCTGGCTCTGTTGCCCAGGCTTGAGTGCAGAGTGCCATCTTGTTTCACTGCAACCTCTGCCTCCTGGGTTCAGGTGATTCTCCTGCCTCAGCCTCCCGAGTAGTTGGGACTACAAGTGTGTGCCACCACACCCAGCTAATTTTTTGTATTTTAGTAGAGCTGTGGTTTCACCATGTTGCCCAGGTTGGTCTTGAACTCTGGAGGTCAGGTAATCCACCTGCCTCAGCCTCCTGAAGTGTTGGGATTACAGGCGTGAGCCACTGCGCTCGGCCTCTCCTAGGGCTTTGAATGCCTGCCTCCTTCCCGTCATTTGGGTCTCTGCTCACTCACCTGCCTCTGAGTTGACACCTGATCACATAGCCTCTGCCTGTTCCATCATCTCTGTGAGATCCGATATTTCCTTATGTGTTTGTGGCCTCCTCACTGGAACATAAACTCTTAGAGAGCAGAGATTCTTTTTTTTTTTTTTTGAGACGGAGTTTCACTCTTGTTACCCAGGCTGGAGTGCAATGGCGCGATCTCGGCTCACCGCAACCTCCGCCTCCTGGGTTCAGGCAATTCTCCTGCCTCAGCCTCCTGAGTAGCTGGGATTACAGGCACGCGCCACCATGCCCAGTTAATTTTTTGTATTTTTAGTAGAGACGGGGTTTCACCATGTTGACCAGGATGGTCTCGATCTCTTGACCTCGTGATCCACCCGCCTTGGCCTCCCGAAGTGCTGGGATTACAGGCTTGAGCCACCAAGCCCGGCTGAGCAGAGATCTTATACATCTCGTTCACCTATGTATCCTTGGCTTTCATTATGAGGATCATGGGAGAGCAACAGATATTCGTAGAGAAAGTAAAAGAACAAGCCGGGCGCGGTGGCTCAAGCCTGTAATCCCAGCACTTTGGGAGGCTGAGGCGGGTGGATCACGAGGTCGAGAGATCGAGACCATCCTGGTCAACATGGTGAAACCCCGTCTCTACTAAAAATACAAAAGACTAGCTGGGCGTGGTGGCGCATGCCTGTAATCCCAGCTACTCAGGAGGCTGAGGCAGGAGAATTGCCTGAACCCAGGAGGCTGAGGTTGCGGTGAGCCGAGATCGTGCCATTGCACTCCAGACTGGGTAAGAAGAGCAAAACTCCGTCTCAAAAAAAAAAAAAAAAAAAAAAAGAACAAGGACAGTGGTGGCAGTGGAGATAGATTTAAAAAATACTAGGCCGGGTGCGGTGGCTCACGCCTATAATCCCAGCACTTTGGGAGGCCGAGTCAGGTGGATCACGAGGTCAAGAGATCCGAGACCATCCTGGTCAACATGGTGAAATCCCGTCTCTACTAAAAATACAAAAAATTAGCTGTGCATGGTGGCGCGTGCCTGTAATCCCAGCTACTCCGGAGGCTGAGGCAGGAGAATTGCCTGAACTCAGGAGGCAGAGGTTGCGGTGAGCCGAGATCGCGCCATTGCACTCCAGCCTGGGTAATGAGCGAAACTCCGTCTCCAAAAAAAAAAAAAAAAAAAAAAAAAAAATACTGAGAGGCTGGGCATAGTGGCTCACACCTGTAATCCTGTAATCTCAGAACTTTGGGAAGCCAGGTGGGAGGATAGCTTGTGGCCAGGAGTCTGAGACCAGTCTAGGCAACATAGCAAGATCGCCTCTGCAAAAAATTTAAAAACCATTAGCTGGGATGGTGATGCACACCTGTAGTCCCTAGCTGTTGGTGAGCTGGGGACTGGAGGGGCAGAGTAGCTGTCTGGGCATCAGGTGGGCGGTCACACCCCGCCCGACCGGCTGGACGCGGGTGGGGGCGGGGCGCTCTGGGTACTAGTCCCTAGCTACTTGGGAAGCTGACGCAAGAAGATCTCTTTTCTTTTCTTTCCTTTTTTTTTTTTTTTTGTTGTTGTTGTTGAGACGGAGTTTCGCTCTTGTTACCCAGGCTGGAGTGCAATGGCGCGATCTCGGCTCACCGCAACCTCCGCCTCCCGGGTTCAGGCAATTCTCCTGCCTCAGCCTCCTGAGTAGCTGGGATTACAGGCACACGCCACCATGCCTAGCTAATTTTTTGTATTTTTAGTAGAGACGAGGTTTCACCATGTTGACCAGGATGGTCTCGATCTCTTGACTTCATGATCCACCCGCCTCGGCCTCCCAAAGTGCTGGGATTACAGGCATGAGCCACCGCGCCCGGACGCAAGAGGATCTCTTGAGCCCAGGAGTTTGAGGTTACAGTAATTGCCACTGTGCTCCAGCCTGGGTGACAAAGATACCCCAACTCAAAGAAATATTGAGGAAGTAGAATCTTTTTCACCTGTTGTAGTAGGGAACAATGGAGGGGCGCAGGCATCCCAGGTTTCTGGCAAGGGCTGTGGGTGAGCAGAGGGGCCAGTTAGTGGGCCCAGAGGAACAGAAAGAATCAGCACTAGATGCTCGGTGGTGTACAGCCTAGCGGCTGAGCTTGATGACATCCAAGCTGCAGTCTGGCTGAAATCACGACCCTGAAAGTGGTGTGGAGAGGGTTTGTTTGACCCTGACTCACTGCCTCTCCCTGGGCCAACCCTAACTGCTGTGTTACCCTAGGAGCTCCCCGCTTGTAGCCCACCTTTGTTTTCATAAATGAGATCAAAATAACCAGAGTTCCGTTTCTCCGGTGACTGCGGAGCGTAACTGCGGGTTCACACAAGGCTGCTGGTGCTGGGTGGTAATACCGGAAAGGAACCGCAGTTGATGGGGTGGGGGAACTGGCCCAGGAACCCTTCCAGGTTAAGTGACGCCTCCGGGCCCCGCACTTTGGACGCGTGCGCCCCGGGAGGGTGTTCTGCAGCCGCCCGCGGCAGCGAGCGGAGCCGCGCCCACTGAATCAGCACGCCCTCCCGGCTGGCTGCTGAGTCAGGCCTGCGGAGCCCGCAAAGCCGCAGGAGCCGACCCGGGCGCGCTCCGCTGCCCTTCAGGCTCGGCTGGAGGTCGAGTCCCCGCAGCCAGGGCGACGCACCGGTGGCTGCGGGGGGTCAGAGGGTGGGCGTCTCCCGTCCTCACTGCCTACACCCCGGCCCTTCCCCTGGGCCCGCCCGAGGTGCAGTTTGTGTCGGGCAGGAGCGCCGGGAACGTCTCCCTGATTCGAGGGTCCAAAAGCCCCGAGGGGAGGGAACAATGACATGGGGAGGGCGCGGGGTTAGGGCTCAGGATCGCGACCGAAGGCTGTCGGGGGGCTCCCGAAGGCCTCCTAGTGGTGTTCTCGGGGGGCCAGAATGAGCGCACGAAGCTCGCGGGCCTGGGAGTGGAGCGGGGCGGCCACCCAGTGGTGGCGGCGGTAGCCGGGCCTGCACCTTCCCCGGCCGCATTCCGGTCGGGCCCACAGCCGGCGGGAGGGGAAGCCGCCTCAGCGCTCGGTCGTCACAGCTGCGGCGGTGGAGAGACCCGGGCCTCGTCGCCCACCGCCCGCGCCACGCCCTGCCCCGAGCGCCCCGTCCCGCCCGCGTTTCTGCCGCGAGGCCCGCGGGGTCCTGCACCATCACCTTCCTCCCTGTGACCGCCCACCTGATACCCAAACAGCTTCCCCGCCCCTCCAGTCCCCAGGTCGCCGAGCGCTTCCAGGGAGCTTCCCAGCCTCAGTTTCCCCGGCCCCGGGCGACACGAGGGGCGATGACGTCATGCCGGCGCACGGCATTGTGGGGCAAGGCGAGGCGGGGCGCCGCGGGAGCAATACTGAGACGCCATTTTCGGCGGCGGGAGCGGCGCGGGCGGTCGAGCGGGACGGGCTGGGTCGGCGGGGCTGCGCCTGGCGACCAAAGGGACAGCGCGCGGGCAGTCGAGGATGCTGCGGGGCGGCTGCACCGGCGCCCCTCGCTAGTGACCGCCGTTCCGCGCCTCAGGCGGCCGAGGCGGGCTCTGCGCGCAGCAGCTCTCCGCGCACGCGCCCGGCGGCGCTCCTGGTGCTGACAGCGCGAGAGAGCGCGGCCCTCCGGAGCTGGACGGTGAGTCCCCGGCGTGCGCCCCGGGCCGCGGCCCCCTCCTCATCCTCTGCCCTGTCCCCGTCCGGGTTTGGGTCCCGGCCCCTCTCGGTTCCCACGCCCGGTTGCGCTCGAGTTCACCGCCCCTGCTGGTCCGCGACCCCTCGCAGGTTCAGGTGGGCTTCCCGTCCCAGGCCCCTTTCCCAGCCCCGGCTCCCGGCGCCGCGCGTCCTCCCCATTCGCGTCCCACTGCAGGTTCCGGTACCCGGCCCAAGCAGGGCCCCGCCCTGGCCCCGCATCCCCGGCTCAGCTCTGCTGCGGGCGGCGGTGGCCGTTCCCAGGGACAGCTGCGGACCCCGGGAGCCCGCGACGGGGGAGGTGACGGCCCCTGGGATCGCGGCGAGCGGGGAGGCCGGCGGCCGGCGGGGCTGCTTTGTCCGATTCCTCTTCCTTCCGCCCCCGCCTCTCGCGGCACCGCCCTGAGCGGACGCGCCTGTCATCCTCGCGGGCGGCGGGGGGCCCGGTCCCTACCGAGAGCCGACTCCACCTCGCCTCCTTGGCGACCCCTTTTTTTTTTTTTTTCAGTAACCAGATGCGAAACGTTTCAGGCGACCCTGTTCACCTAGGCTGGCGTTGCTCCAACTAAACTTGAAGCAACCCCGGTCCTGGGATGCTTTTTCGATGTAAAATTGGGTGCACCCTTTTCCTGAAAAAAATTAAAATAAAGCGTTAAAAAAGTAAAATCTATGCGTGATGGAGTGGATGGTTTTATAACAACATATGTAGGTCATTTCTAGGCATATTTGTGTTAGGATTATTGTTGCCTGTTTTATAAAGAATTTACATATTAAGCGTTTGAAAAGGCATGCTTACGAAAAAATTTTTTTGGGGAAGGTTATTTTTTTTTGAGACGGAGCTGGAGTGCAGTGGCGAGATCTCGGCTCACTGCAACCTCCGCCTCCCAGGTTCATGCGATTCTTCTGCCTCAGCCTCCCGAGTAGCTGGGACTGCAGGTGGGCTTCATCACCTCTGGCTAATTTTTGTCTTTTTAGTAGAGATGGGGTTTCACCCTATTGGGTAGGCTGGTCTCGAACTCCTGACCTTGTGATCCACCCGCTTTGGCCTTCCAAAGTGCTGGGATTACAGGTGTGAGCCACCATGCCTATCCAAAAAAAATGATGTTTTTAAAAAATGTGAGAACAAAAAATCTGAGATGCATTATTTCAGGTGTTCTTTAAAAGGGCAGTTGGATCTTTGATTCTTTGCATTAAATTCTAAGGTCTTTTTTTCCGTACAGCATGACTAAGCCATTGATCAGAATCAGCTCAGAATGCATTACACTAGTTTAGTGAAAAACACATATGGAAACTGGAACGACATCCTTAGGTTCCCAAGTTACATTACTGTCATGGTCTTGCTTCTTTCAGGGATTGTCAACAAGCCTGTTATGGTGTGTCAACAAGCCTGTTATGGTGAGAAATTTGACCTATTCTGTTTCCTAAATATTTGTGAGAATACAATGATACTAAATCTGAAGTGTATTTCAACTTGTGTGGAATTCCATGTGGGAGGGTAGGCACTGTAAAGAGCCAGTGTCTCTCCAAGTCCTCAAAGAATGCAACATCATGTTGCAGTTGAGCCTGGCAGCCCTGTGCTGGCACTGAGTGCTGTGGAGGACCCAAGTGGTAACCTCTAACCTTACTGCAGCCTTGGCACACCTCACCTTGCCTAGCATTGTCTTAGAAAAGCATCCAGACATTCACAGGAGTCAGGATAGTGTTTATCTCCAGCAAGGGGAGGGAATGACACTGGGGAGAGGCACACGGTATCTTAAATATGTCATAACGAATAACTCCAGTCATTTACATTTATACATTTAAAAAATTTATACTTTTTTTTTTTTTTTTGAGACAGAGTTTCACTCTTGTAGCCCAGGCTGGAATGCAATGGTGTGATCTCGACTCACCACAACTTCTGCCTTTCAAGTTCAAGCGATTCTCCTGCCTCAGCCTCCTGAGTAGCTAGCATTATAGGCATGTGCCATCATGCCGGGCTAATTTTGTATTTTTTTTTTTTTTTTTTTGAGACGGAGTTTCGCTCTTGTTACCCAGGCTGGAGTGCAATGGCGCGATCTCGGCTCACCGCAACCTCCGCCTCCTGGGTTCAGGCAATTCTCCTGCCTCAGCCTCCTGAGTAGCTGGGATTACAGGCACACGCCACCATGCCCAGCTAATTTTTTTTGGATTTTTTAGTAGAGACGGGGTTTCACCATGTTGGCCAGGATGGTCTCGATCTCTTGACCTCGTGATCCCCCCACCTCGGCCTCCCAAAGTGCTGGGATTACAGGCGTGAGCCACCGCACCCGGCCGCTAATTTTGTATTTTTAATAGGGATGGGGTATCTCCATTTTGGTCAGGCTGGTCTCAAACTCCTGACCTCAAGTGATCCACGTGCCTCGGCCTCCCAAAGTGCTGGGGTTACAGGCATGAACCACCTTGCCCAGTCAATTTATACATTCTTGAGCATGTTTCTCAATGTTGGAAAAGAGTCAATGTGTCGGGCACGGTGGCTCATGCCTGTGATCCCAGCACTTTGGGAGGCTGAGGCGGGCGGATCATGAGGTCAAGAGATCAAGACCATCCTGGCCAACATGGTGAAACCCCGTCTCCACTAAAAATACAAAAAAATTAGCTGGGCATAGTGGCGCGTGCCTGTAGTCCCAGCTACTTGTGAGGCGGAGGCAGGAGAATTGCTTGAACCCAAGGGGTGGAGGTTGCAGTGAGCCGAGGTAGCGCCACTGCACTCCAGCCTGGAGCCTGGCAACGGAGCGAGACTGTGCCTCAAAAAAAAAAAAAAAAAAAGTCAATGTGTCACTTTCTGTATAGGGCCATAAACTATCTTAAAATATACTTATATAAAAGGAAAACTAGACTAGAAAAAAGACAGATGAAATATAGGATTAGTATAACTTGGAAACAATAGATAAGTGGAATGTTAGAAAGCAGTATGTATGTATGTATGTATGTATGTATTTATTTAGAGATGAGTCTCGCTCTGTCACTCAGGCTGGAGTGCAATGCTTGATCTCCACTCACTGCCATCTCTGCCTCGTGGGTTCAAGTGATTCTCCTGCCTCAGGCTCTCTAGTAGCTGGATTGCAGGCACCCATCATCACACCTGGCTAATTTTTTGTATTTTTAGTAGCGACAGGTTGGCCAGGATGGTCTCGAACTCTTGACCTCAGGTGATCCACCTGCCTCAGCCTCCCAGTGTGCTAGGATTACAGGTGTGAGCCATTGCGCCTGTCCTGAAACCAGTATTTCATGTAACAAACAAGTGATCAGTAATATACTCAAACAAGAGTATTTGGGAAGATCTAAATGTCAAATTTCAGGGCATAGAATAAAAATGACAAGCAAGTTAAGATTGCAAATACTGGTTTTTTTTTTTTTTTTTTTGAGACAGGGTGTCGCTCTTGTTACCCAGGCTGGAGTGCAATGGCACGATCTCGGCTCACCGCAACCTCCGCCTCCTGGGTTCAAGCAATTCTCCTGCCTCAGCCTCCTGAGTAGCTGGGATTACAGGCACACGCCACCATGCCCAGCTAATTTTTTTTGTATTTTTAGTAGAGACGGGGTTTCACCACGTTGACCAGGATGGTCTTGATCTCTCGACCTCGTGATCCACCCGCCTCGGCCTCCCAAAGTGCTGGGATTACAGGCTTGAGCCACCGCGCCCGGCCTTTTTTTTTTTTTTTTTTTAAAGATGGGGTTTCACCGTGATGGCCAGACTGGTCTTGAACTCCTGACCTCAGGTGATCCACCCACCTCGGCCTCCCAAAGTGTTAGGATTACAGGCGTGAGCCACCGCGCCTGGCCAGCAAATACTATTCTTAATGTCTGTTGGGAACCAACTGAATGGCAGGTACTGTGTTGAGTAGCCAACGGTATGTTGATAGAGCCGCTCTTGACTGGGTGTGGTGGCTCACGCCTGTAATCCCGGCACTTTGGGAGGCCAAGATGGGCAGATAACCTGAGGTAAGGAGTTCGAGACCAGCCTGGTCATCATGATGAAACCCCATCCTTTTTTTTTTGTTTTTTTAAACACGGGGTTTCACCATGTTGGTCAAGCTGGTCTCAAACTCCTGACCTCAGGTGATCCACCTGGCTTGGCCTCCAAAGTGCTTGGGTTACAGGCGTGAGCCACCATGCCTGACTGGAACCCCATCTTTACTAAAAACACAAAAATTAGCTGGGCGTGGTGGTTCGTACCTGTAATCCCAACTGCTTGATAGGCTGGGGCAGGAGAATCGCTTGAACTGCAGCGGTGGAGGTTTCATTGAACTGAGATCACACCGTTGCACTCCAGCGTGGGCAAAAGAGTGAGACTCTGTCTCAAAAAAAAAAAAAAAAAAAAAAATGCCGCTGTCCTCTAGGAGCTCACAGGCTGGCCTGGACAGATACCACAGACCAGGTTAAAGGCTGTGATAAGTGCACTGAGGAGGTAATTCTTTGATTCTTTGCAGAAGAAAAGTATAAATCAGCTAGTGTTGGGACCAGGGGGTGGGATTGGGATTTTGGGTCCTGTTTGGAGGCTATAATTCTGGAAGTTGTGCTGCTGTAAGGGGGCATGTTGGGAAGGGAGCGTAGGGGTGAGAGTGGAAATATAAGGTTAGGAAAGGTCTTGAATGACTCCTTAAAAGGCTGCTTTCATTCTGAGGTTTACGAGGGAGGGTTGGAAGATTTTTTTTTTTTTTTAAAGACGGGGTTTCACTGTGTTGGTCAGGCTGATCTTGAACTCCTGACCTCAGGTGATCCACCTGCCTTGGCCTCCAAAGTGTTTGGATTACAGGTGTGAGCCACCACGCCCAGCTAGGGTTGGAAGATTCTAAAGAGCCAGGTGACACTTGAGAAAGAGCAGAGGCAGTGGTGAGGCAGGTGCTGTGAACTGGGATGAGATTATTTAGGAAGCTATTAACCCCAACTGAAGACTGCAAGCCTCAGAATTAGGGCAGTGACAGAAGG